GAAAGAAAGAAAGAAAGAAAGAAAGAAAGAAAGAAAGAAAGAAAGAAGGAAGGAAAGAAAGACAGAAAGAAAGAAAGAAAAGAGGAAGGGAGGAAGGAAGGAAAAGAGTGAGGGAGGAAAGAAGGAAGGAAAGGAGGGAGGAAGGAAGGAAAGAAAGAAGGAAGGAAGGAAAGAAAGAAAGAAAGAAAGAAAAAGAAAGGAGGAAAGGAGGAAAGGAGAAAGGAAGGAAGGAAGGAAAGAAAAGAAAGAAAGGAAGAAAGGAAGGTCATAGATAGATAATACAAACTGTTAAGAGCACCATATTGAGAAACATGAGACTCAGTTTCATAGCTTAGTGATACCTGTGATACCACAGGCAGGTCATTTCCCCTGTCTTGGTCTCAGTTTCCTTCTCTGTCACATGAGGGAGTTGGAGTAAATGATGTCTGTGGTACCCATTCTCTCTCATCTTTCCTTCTAATGAAAGAAGTTGCCAAGATACCAGGCAGCAAATGCTCTCTGATCTGTGGGTTGGATGAAATGGCCACTGAGGTAGCCTTTCTAATTCTAAAATTCTGTGATTCTGTGAATTTCTCATTGCAGTACAATTTAATTCAATTCAATTCAGTAAGCCTTTATAAAGTTTCTGCTATTTGCCAGGGACTCTACCAGATATTGGGGTTACAAAGGCAAAAACAAAAGCATCCCCAATCTTCAAGCTGCTAATACATGATCTGCTGAGAACGGCAGGGCTATGACAGTGCTTCTAAAGGCAGCCTGGTCTTCCAGACCCGGGGGAGCCATCTGGATTTGATGGCGCCCCTGAGAACAGTGTTCCCCGTCCCACCCTGTGTGATTGGTCAGTCCTGGCAAGAGCTGGAACTGGGTAGTCGGTGACCTTTAGGATCACCGTGGTTCTTCTCCCCAAAGAGAGAACCTCCAGATTGGTGACCTCTACTCCACCCCTCCCTTTTCTCCAATGCCCAGCTTAGAACAACACATGATCATCCACACGGAGGAGCGGGAGTACAAGTGTGACCAGTGCCCCAAGGCCTTCAACTGGAAGTCCAACCTGATTCGCCACCAGATGTCCCACGACAGTGGCAAGCGGTTTGAATGTGAAAACTGTGTGAAGGTAAGTCAGATGAGAGGCAGCTTAGAATGGGGCAGGGAGGTGCTGGGAGAGGCTGGGGGGTCACCCCACCTTGTGACCATCCTTCCATCTACCCAGTGGAAAGAAATGGAGTCAAATCTCCATTAAGGACCTGCTCTGGGCCCCACCCAGGGCTAGGCACATGAGGTGACACATAAGACATCGTCCCTGCCATCGGGAAGCTTATTCCTGAGTTAGGGAAGGAGGATGTTCCGTGGTGACATTCAGTATGTGTTCATTGAACCCACTCTTTGAACACAAACCAAGAAGCATTGGGGAATAGCTGATAGAGGGCTGAGTCCAAACCCCTCTCCTGATAAGCCCTAGGTAAGCTCTAGGCCCCTGTGGGAGATAGACCTAGGCCTATATTCAAGTGGATCCATTTGGAAGTTCCCTCCAATGAATCAGGTCAGTCAATCAACAAGCCTTTAGTAAATATGGACCATGTAAGCTGCGAGGAGACAAAGACAAAATGGGCCTTTTGCCCATTGCTCAAAGGATTCACATTCTAACGTGTGCATCATGAACACAGACGAGATAGACAGGTAGCATAGACGGTAATCTCAGGCACTAGTAGTAGGGGGCCTCGGAAAGGCCTCTTAAAGAAGGGGATGTTTGAGTTGAGTATTGAAAGAGGACAGAGAAACCAGGAGGTGGAGGTGAGGAGAAATGACAGCAACCCACCCCATGCCCGCGTACATGCGTAGACTGATACAGAGGCTGGCTCAAACCAGGCCCCAGTCACGTCTCACTCTGCATGACCCCATTCGGGGTTTCCTTGGCAAAGATACAAAAGCAGTTTGCCATTTCCTTCTCCAGTTCATTTTACAGATGAGGAAACTGAGGCAAACAAGGTGAAGTGACTTGCCCAGAGTCACATAGCTAGTAAATGTCTGAGGCCAGATTTGAGCTCAGGAAGATGGGTTTTCCTGACTCCAAGCCCGGCACTCTGTCCGCTGCCTCAAACCATATTCCCTGACCAGGAATTGAACTCAGGCCACAGCCTTGAGACCTCTGAAACCTAACCACTAGACCACCAGGGATCATTCAGTCTAGCTGATTGTTAAATTTTCAGTGTGAGGATTTTCATCTTGGAAATCAGCAAATGCTAGAAGGCAGGGCTTCATTTATTGCTTTGTTAATTCACTAGACTTCAGAAAGTGATGGAGAAAATTTTAATAATGTAGATCAAACTCAAGAGTATATAATTTTATTCTGACAAGCTGGTTGTTAAACATTTACCTGCATAATACACCAAGGAATGGCTTGAAAGGATAGGAAAAGGACTGTGAGAAGGCAGTTTGGGATTTGCCGATTCCCAGAATTTCAGAGTTACAAGAGATGACAGAGACCAGCGAGTCCAAGCCATCCCTGAAACTAGAATATTTACACATTCCACACAAAGGGTCATGCAGCCTTTGCCTGAAGGCCTCCAACTAAGCGGGGAGCTCGCTACCTCCAGAGGCAGCCCTTTCCACTCATTCACAGCTCTCATTGTTAGGATGTCAAAATCTGCCTCCCTGCAACACCTACCTGTTGGACCCTCCAGGCCCAGCAGAACAAAGCTAACCCCCCTCCTAGGTGACAGCCTTCCTGTGAAGGGCAGGGGCAATCAATCTGTGCCAAAAAAATTCAGAGAAGTCTTCATGGGGAGGTGGCATCTGAGCTAGGCCTTAAACGGTGGGTAGATTTTTAAAGGTCAGATTCCAGGCCACCATGATGGAAGGAGCTATGAGGACAATGAGATGCTTCCTCTGAACCCCATGGTCTAGGTTTCCACTAGAGGCCATTAATGGCTGCTAATGGCTACTGTCTTGAGAGAGATGCTGAATTCTCTCTGAGTTCACTTGGTCTCCTGGTTGGCTGTGCAAGCTTAACTCTGCTATTCCCCTAGTTGGTAGCATGTGCCAATGGCCCAGTCTTCCCTGAGCTCTAGCATCCCCAGGGTCAGAAGCCCTGATGGTCCCTCCTGGGTTACCCAGTTCTTATCTAGGCTTGTGTCTTCCTGTCTCCTGGAGAAGACTGAGCCAGAGACTTTAGACCTTAGGCCTCTTATGAATGGCAGGCTTGGGCCAGGAGAATCTCCATCTGTCTGGAAATCACAGTGGGCTATTTGATTTTTTATGACAGGCTAACACAGAGCTCACCACACTTGGTCCACCCACAGAGAGCGGGTAGGCCTGCCAGTTTGGGTTTCCTTCCCCAGGAAATTGGGTCATTAGGTTGGAATGGGGCTGGGGGAAGGGGAGAAGAGAAGCTGATGGATTCTCAGATACCCCATCTGTACCCAGTTTTTATTGATGACTTTGCAACATAGTTTGTGAGTTCAGATCTGGGTTCAAATTTGAACAAAGCCAATTCGCTTAATTCAATTTGATTCATCAAGACATATTGTGCACAGCGCTCCGCCTCAGTTTACGCATTTGTTAAAGTAGGGACAGTAATCCTGGCAGTTCCTGATTCATAGGATTTCTGGGAGCGCATGGCCTTTGAAACTAGGCCTCAGCACAAGCTGGGGACAGAGGAAGGGCAGAGCAGGGATGGTACGAGTCAGATTGCTAGATTGGTGTGCCCCCATTCATGGGGTAAACAAGAATACCTCCTTGCTCCCCCGTCCCTCAATACACCCACCTTCCAGGGGCCCCAGACTAAAAGAGTTTCCTCCCCCAGGTCTTTACGGACCCCAGTAACTTGCAGAGGCACATCCGGTCCCAGCACGTGGGTGCCAGGGCTCACGCCTGCCCAGACTGTGGGAAGACCTTCGCCACCTCATCTGGCCTCAAACAGCACAAGCATATCCACAGCACGGTGAAACCTTTCATATGTAAGTTGTCATGGGGGTGACTGGCTGGCCAACCAGCAGGGTAATTGCATCCATACTGAGAGGCTCCCTGGCCGGGGCTCCCATCAGGCTCCGGCTCCTGCTCTGTCTCCCAAGTGAGCCAGGGCATAAATTGTGGAGGTCAGAGAACAAGATGAAATTCCCCAGCAACACCCCCCTGCTCGCTGCCTCTTTCTTCCCCAGCTCCCCTTCCCCCCTTCTCCTTTGCAGGATCCCTGTTTTTTCAGAAAACATTCATAGCAATTTCTGAGTTTTCTGACAAGTTAAAAGCCCCATCTCCCAGAAGCCTTGTGGTGCCACCGTGCCCTATCCTCTCTTCCTCTCCCATCCCCCCTCCTCCTCTTCTCTTGCCCCCACCCACACTCCTTTGCTTTTTCTCCCTGAGGCTTTATACTTCAATAATGACTCCTGGGAGGTTCGGTTCTCCTACATCTAGTAAGCAGTTCTCTGAGCCCTGGTTCCTCTCCTGCTAGGCTCTCCCCACAAATAGAACTCCAAAAAGGATCAGGACCCTTCATGTATGAATGAATGAATGAATGAACGAATGAATGAAAAAGCATTTATTAAGTGCTTACTATGTGCCAAACGCTTAAATGTTAAATGCAAGTAGAAAAGTAAAATGAGTCTCTGCCCTTAGAGAGCATAGGTTCCAATAGGGGAACTGAATATGCACACATGTGCGCGTGCACACACACACACATACCCACGGGAGTGGTGGCCAAGGAGATGTACAGATGGTGAATGGAGCCATCCTGTGATGGCAGCTGAGAACAAAGTTGAGAGACAGTAGAATTTGGGACCCCTAGTTCCCCTGGGAGGTGCCCTCTGCCTTAGGTGCCCAGGTTCTGAGGGGGACCTAGAGAGAGTCTGCTTCCTACACTTTTTTCATTCTTACATTAGGTGAAACTCATTGAGTTCTGTTTTTCTGGCAATTGGTTTAAAAATGATTTCACTCACTCATTCATTCATTCCACAAACACTTGTTAACTGTGTTAACTGCACCTACTATGTGCAATCATTGGAACTTGCCAGGGTAGAATGACTCGGGGCCTGTGGGGGTGTCTTGTCCTACAATCATGTTGGCTGGGTAGGCAGGGGGATCTGGAAAGCAACAGGTGGATGGAAGAAGAGACCTGTTAGACAATGCAATCAACAAACATTTATTAGGCACCTACTGTGTGCCAGGCATCGTGCTAAGTACTTTCCAGTGGGTCAACCTGCCATCATCAAGGCAAAGGGTGTTGGTCTCCCCATCCCTACTTCCCCAAGCTACATACTGACATTTCTCCTACATCCCAGTTGCCCTGGGGTGTCCACTATCCCCTGACATCACTAGGGGCAGAAGGGAGAAGGCACATTGTGTATTTGGCCCCTGGTCCTCTCCTCAACGCTTCCAAGACTACCCTACTTCCCAACTAGCCCAGGGCTTAAATCAGGTTTGCATATAAGCATCAACACATTTCTGGCCTACAGTTTTGTTTTTTAAACTATCAGCCAAGCCTTCTCCTGGGCAGGACATAGGTAAGAAAATAAACAAAGTCCACTGACAGACTCCCTCATAGACCTTGGGAAAGGCATTGGTTCTCAATGAGCCATAGTCCCCAGCTGGGAGAGTCTATTTCCTCTGGGATAGATGCCCAAGGCAGAGCAAGGGTGGGGGTGGGGGGATGGTGACATGGAAGAGGAGGAAAGGGGGATGTCTGGTGTGGGGGGGCAAGTGGACTGTCTTAGGAGAGATCTGTGACTTTTAAAAGGAAAGCTGATTGTTTTTAAGTGGGAAAGGGGGAGTTGGAACAGGGAAGGGTATCTGTGTGAGTCTGAGTTAGCAACACAGAGTTTTCTAAGCAATCCCCCAAAACGAGATCATACATGACATTCAAAAGTGACTACTTTTCTGGCTCTCCCCTCCTTCCCTGCCCAGTCCTGTTCAGATTATATTAACGTTAAGTCTCAGAATCTCTGGCTTCCCAAGAGCACCCGAGGCCCACTATTTTCCTAGCACTGAAAAAACACCCTGATGGATTGAGGGGGGTGGGGGGAAGAGAAGGGAACAGAGGAGAAAACCTAGGCTGAGGAGCCTGTGTCCTGTCCCCCTTCCCAGCTCCTTGGCCTGCTACCCACTTGTACGCCATTTGACCTTGGCTTCTTGCTAAGGGGATCAAGCTAATGAGAAAACCCCCAAGTTGGCCTAGCTGTGTTTATACAAATTTCATCCAGCTAGGGAGACGCAGTTGTGGAAGATTAGATTAGACATGTAGAATAAACCTTTATGTATCTTCCAAACCACTCTATAGCATCCTCCAGCCCAGGCCAAAGGAGTTAGAGGAAGGTTTAAGAAAGGGGGAGGGTAATATTTGCCCCCACCCCTTGGAAAGAAAAATATACAAACAACTATAAAATAAATCCAAAGTGTGGAACTCTTCTGAAAAGGATAGAGTCTTTGGTAGGCAGTAATCCACCTTGACGCAGTGTCTTTAAGAGAGAGACGTCCCATCCAACTTGCAAGCCTTCGTATGAAGCCACTCTGTTATGGCACTCGGTGACATGCCACATTTAAAAACACGAATACATACACGGAGAGAGTCACAGAGCTCCACTCTCTCCACTGAAAGGGTCTGTTCCTTCCATGTCTGTGTGGAGCACACAAACTCCGGCAACTACAGTTACCTGAGCAGGATTTCCAGAGGATGAAAGGATGTGGAGAATGTATGTATTTGTGCAAGGCCGTATGGGCCTTTGTGGACACGGACACACGTGTGCTTGTAAGGGAGGGGGATGGGGAAGGCCATAGGTGGGAGTGGTTTTTCATCTCAGTTTGTTGCTGTTTTTAAAATGAGAACAGAGGGTGGGGATCATTTAAGTTACAAGCAAGTAAAAGAAATCTGCCAACCTTTGTGGTGGAGCCCTCAATGAATGTGGAACCTCCTCCCCTTTTGCAAAAGGCTGAGAGTAGGAGATCCTTGGAAGAGGAAACAGCAGCCCAAATGTGCATCTCTGGGCAGAAGACACGATCAGGCAGTGATGCCCGATAAAGAAACACAGTGAGGGAATCTGTCGCAGGAAGGTTGGGCTGGATGGAAACCTGGGGCCTCTGAGAGCCTAACTTGGGAGGAATACGTCCAGACCCTCAGGGCATCTGCCATCCCTCCTGCTTCCCACAGATGGGGCTTCCTGGAAGCAAGTCGCCACCCTAAAGCAAACTTGACGTCTGTGTTGGGCTGACTGGATACAACCCTGTTCTTTCCCAGTATTCATCTCAAACCTCTAGGACTTCGCCCTCTTTAAAGAGTTGTCTTTGGAAGGACCACAAGGCCCCTGGGGGCCTCTCCCAGGGCCTTCAGTTTCCTTCATGCCCACACGCCTAACTAAGCCTCGCTTGTATGAGAAAATATGCCTTGGGATGTGGGAAGGGAAGGCACAAACACGCCTCTGCCCAGGCAGGACTGGAGGCACCAAATGCTAGGCCCCCTCTTAAGGCTTTTGGCCCCAGGCACCGAATTCGGCTCCAAGCCTCTTTTTCAGAGCTAAGGATTGCAAATCTCTAATGAAACACTGACGGCTAAGTGTAGACCTGCAAGTGTGCACAGCCAGAGTGTCAGTGCACATTTGGCCAATTACTTATTGAAGTAGAAGGTCTGGCCTCGTTCCTCGCTAAAAGCAAGGGCTGATCTGAGGCATATTTATAGAACTATCCCTGTGGAGGGGCAACTCACTGTTAGCAGGAGAGAGAGAGACAGAGACAGAGACACAGAGAGAGAGAGAATGTCTATGAAAATGAGAGACAGGATGAAAAAGTAATGAGAATAAGAGATAGCATGAGAAAGAAAGAGAATATGGAGAGTGACCATCCATGACAGAGAATTAGAAAGAAAGAATCAGAGGAAATGAGAATGAGAAAGAAAAAGTGAGGGGGAAATGAGTCTGAGAAAGAATGTGAGAAAGAGAAAAAGGAGAAGGGAATGAGTGAGTGAAAATGGGAGAAAACATTTAAGAAAGCGAGTAAGGAACATAAGGAATGAGAGAGGGAATGAGGAGAGAGAAGAAATATGAAAGAAGGAATGTAAGTGGAAAGGAGGAGAGAGAAAGAGAGCCAAGTATATATATATATATATATATATATATATGTATGTATTTTAACACCCTTCCCCATTTCAGGAAAATAAGAGGAAAAGGAAAATAAAATATGCTTGTAGACAGGTTCATTTCACATGCCAGTGGGAAAAGAACAGAAAGATAAAATCTGGTCTCAGCTACTTTGTCCTGATGTCTTTACATTCTATCTGATGCTGACTTTTCCTGTTGAAAGAGCAGGCAGAGTCATGCTTGGGTCCTGAAGTGGCTCAATGTGCCTGGGGTGACTTTCCTGATTCACTTAGGGCCTCGGGGTCTATACTTAATATTTCTCATCAGATGCTTTTTAGCTATCAACTCCCCTACCCCATCCCCTACCAGCCTTCCCCTCTGACTCCTATGACCTCTTCTATTTCCTACTAACTTCCTTTACCAGCTCTACTCAGTCTGTTTTCCCTCTGTCACCAATAAGCAAAGTGTTTAGCTCCCCAGACTTTGAGAGGAAGGAAGGAAGGAAGGAAGGAAGGAAGGAAGGAAGGAAGGAAGGAAGGAAGATAAAAGAAAGAAAGAAAGAAAGAAAGAAAGAAAGAAAGGGAAAGAGGAAGAAAAGGAGAGGTACCAAAGGAAGGTGGGAGGAAAAGAGAGAGGAAAGAGATAAAAGAGGGAGGTAGGGTGTGACTCTCCTTCCTGTCACTGCTCTTTCATATTCAGACATTAAAGGGAGAAATAGGAGAATAGGAACATTTGGGAAAATAAACTATTAGAAAGTGAAAAAAAAATCCATTGTATCTAGTCCAATCTCATCACCAATAATATCAACAACTACAATTCAAACAAAAGGTGGGGCATAACACAGCTTCAAGCCTGGCATATTTGTTCTCCATATTGGATCTCCAGTTCTATGGGGATGATGGAGCCATGATTTTTCAAGAACATGTTCCAGTGGTTTCACCTCCCTCTCTCTCTCTCTCTGTCTCTCTCTCTGTCTCTCTCTCTGTCTCTCTCTCTGTCTCTCTGTCTCTCTCTGTCTCTCTCTCTCTGTCTCTCTCTCTCTGTCTCTCTCTCTGTCTCTCCATCATCTTCCTCTCTCTCTCTCACACACCCTCTTCTCTCTCTCTGTCTCTCTGTGTGTGTGTGTGTGTGTCTCTCTCTCT